GCTGCTGCAGCATTAAAAAGTTAGCTATGAAGCAGCCTATCTGGGTTTAGACCCCATTCAAGCTGGGCAACAGGTTGAGTCTACATCCCAGTTTTCATTACCAGTGCTTTTAGGAGTAGAATGATGGAGTGATATCAAGTGATGTTCTTTTTGACAAGTCATCTATAGAGGAAAAACTTCAAGACCTTCACTTTTCATTCTTTCTTCTTTACTGTCTATGGAATAGCTAGGCTACAATTAATTTCTCTCTGAATGCACAGACTTATTGATATAGAGTGATTTACAGTATTTTACACTGAGTACATTGTACAAAATGTCTAATGTCTAGTTAGTACGGGTCAATCTCAAGAGCCCAAGAACAGGAACATTTGTGCCCTCTAATTTCACCTTCTTAACCTCTAGAAGTTTTTTGGCATCCTTTAGATTCTTGTAAACAAAAAAACCTGGCAGTACACTCAGCCTAGAACTTGGCTGGGTACACCGTGACAATTTTCAAGTCCAGTTCCCAAAGCTCATTTTTCAGTTTAAAGAACCCTCTCCCATTTTCTGAGAACACTGGGGCAAGGAGCGTTTATCCATTTTCCTTCCCTGAAAGTTTCTGTATTTCACAGTCATCAAGATTGTAGTGCGACAGGCATAAGACACAAATAATTGTACGTAACTCATTTGCTTAGGTTTTAGAAACAGGAAGCCTCCTAGCCAGAGCAGGAAAGGAAAGATCTGGCGCGAATCCCAAATTTCATTGCTGACCATCAAATGAAACAGTCAATAAGAGGTCACGTCTTTTCATCAGGGATCTCAATCATCCTTAAATTCTTTGCGTTTGATATTCTTCCACCTTATCCATGGACAGTTAAGTTTATTTACATATTCATATTGCATCATGCGATGGGCATGTAGTTGAGGTCACTGACCTGAAAATAAAGCATTTGGACATTGACCAAAGCATTTGATTTTTCCCTCTCCAGTCCCAAGAATATCTTGTAATCCAGCCCTTTTGAATATGTAATAGCTACAGCCTATTTTGTAAGAAATGTTTATTCAAATCAATTTTGAGGCAAAGATATGCATCAACCCTATACAGAAATTAAAGCAGGGTAGGAGGGGATGGGACGAGGGGGACGGACATTAAATGACCTGATATAATTCTATCTATATCAGTGAGCTCTCTTGATTCATGAATCAGTCTTGGCCCTGGAAGGCAAAAATGGAGAATGTGTGTCATTTGTCCTGTGCTTTGGGATTGTTTTGTGAACTTTAATAATTTTGGTCTCTTCATATCCTTGTAGCCAACTATTTAATACATCAACATTTACACTTTGTTTTCTTCATCTAATAGCAAATAAATATTTGAAAACACTGTATTTAATCTGTCTAAACCAATTCAGTCAAACTATGTTAAGCCAAAATAAAAACTTAAAAACAATACTCAAGGAAAATCTCTCTTTGTATTTTTACATTGGCATATGTGTGTGTGCACGTGTGCAACTGAACACTGCATATAATTAAATACTATCTATTTCAGAAGGCGTGAAGTGAAGACTTCTGGAAAAAAACAAAAACTGAACTGACAATCTAGATGTCCAAGATGAGTAAAGGGCAAAGTCTAAATGGTAAACAATAAAAAAAGACATTATGTCTCCAATTTTACTGATTAAGAAAAACATTGTGAATTACTAAAATGTTGTGAAAATTATGAATTATTGAACAGAAACCCTAAGGACACTGAACAAAATGTACTTTTCCCTTTCATCAGTTTACTTTTATGATGTTTCATAACATAAAAATACAATCTTCTTTATATGAGATGCAAATGATCCTGCACTAGTGTGTGAACAGGAGACTGATATTCAGATTAATTTTTCCTCAGTCCTCATATTAACGTAATAAGAAATATAATTTTTTTGAGCAAAATGCAAGTATTTGAGAAAAACAGGATTAGTGAAATCATCTGTTTTAGAACACAAATAGGTTTCAGGATAGTAATACATGCATTAAAAGGAACATGTTTATATATTTCAAAGAGAACTGCTGCTTCTCATCTGTGTAAGAAAAGCATATATCCCTGAGAAAGTACTGGAATAAAGTTGTCAGGTAACGCGAAACAAAGCAAATACTTGGTGCTTTACAGATTGCCGAGATACAGTTAGGCAAGGAGGAAGAAGGGTAAGTGAAATCAAAATTACCCAGTATACATTTTCAATAGGAAGTTGAAGATATGAATTCATTAGGACTTAAGCCATTGTGACATCCAGTCTCAACTTTCCCAGTGCAAAATGAAAGTTATTTTCTACCGAAGAGGCCTTTTACAATCTTAGATTTCTCCTCAGCCTGAGGAAGGGTGAACATCCCCGAAAGCTTGCAAAGAAATAATTTTTTTTTTGCTATTTTTTTTCAGTTGGTCTAATAAAAAGCATCATAGCTGAACCAAGAGTTTTAGAATTTTGTATTTCTCTTACAACTTAAGCCTGCAGACATACAGTCAAATTCCATTCTTTCCGAGAAGCAAAAAGAGGCCATATTTTTCTTTGGGCCAAAATTAACAAGACTTCAAGTAGCCCAACGATCTCAACATGCTGATTCACATTGTTCTGAATTCAATTCAGTACATCATAGAAATTAATTTACCAGATCTGTTGATGCTATCTTTGTGTTTACTTCCAAATGAATTAATTTACTTCTGATCAACAGGAAAAAACAAAATGAGGAAATATGTGTTTTGAACTGTTGTTCTTAGAAGTCTAAACTTTTTTTGTTTGTGTAATGGGAAAAAATAGAGAGCTGAAATCCCTTTGCTTTTTTTGCATTACTCCAAGTCTGTTATAACTCACTCTATGGAAGGGTGGACCATGGCCATTTCCCTCACACCTTTTCTAGGGAGGAGAAAGGCCAAGGCTTAAAACAATAAACTGAGTTAAAAAGTAAGGTTTAAGCCAAATAAAGCAAGCAAACAAAATTTGGTAAGGCTGCACGTCCTCATGCTTCAGGCATAAGCCATCAAGTCAAGTTCATTCTGGTTAAAACAGAACTCTTAATTCCATACCTCTGCCATCTCTTCTCAACTGCAGTGGAAAATGCAATCATCATTCTGGCAATCACTCAGGCCTATAAGTCAGCCATTATCTTCAACTCAGATCCAGGTTATTACTAAATTTTGCCAATTTTCAACAACTTTCAGCAAAATCCCTTTTAAGTATGATAACTCCTATCCATCCATGCAACTAAACACTTATCCAGCTTGTATTATCTTATCTTCAACATTTTCTTCTCTGCACTTGACATGTACAAACCCTCATGGCCATTCAGAATGCTGTTGCAATGATTTTCCCCAATCTGACTCTCCAACCCTTCTCTCTGCAACTTTCCTGGTTTTCCCTTCTAAATCTGATGGAAACAAACTATAACAAAACCTCTGTTGTCACTTCAAGGCTCCTCATAGGGCTATTTCAAAATGCATGCTTGCTTTCTCTTCCATGACACTGTGGAACAAATTACACCTAAAGCGTACAAAAATTATTTTCCACTTGCAACGCTCATGAAAATGATTCTTTGCCATGCTGCCTACAAAAATCTAGCAAGCTACTATGCAGTATGCAGAAAGCCATTTCAAATATAGCATAATTTGAATTTGAAACTCACCTCTCCATGCTAAGACCACTGCCTATCCTGCTGATCAACATGGCTCTTTATTTTCTTGTGCTTCCCTGTGTCTCTCTATTGTTTGATTGTCTCTCATCTCTTATGCCTAAGACTGCAAACAATTTTGAACAGCAGTGGTCTTTTTATTCTGAGTTTGCATAGCTCTGGCACAAAAAAGGTCATCCTCCATGACTCTCAATGGTACACAAATCAATGTAAACACAATGGTAACACAAATAAACGTGAACCTAAGTCTCCAGGAGCTGTTAAAATGGCAGTGAGATTGGGATAGTGGTGCCGCAACCTAAATTTTGCGTGCTAGATCTACGTGGCAGGATGCACAAGGTTTGGGATGGGACTTAAAAGTCCTCAGATTGCAATCGGACAATGAGGCTGCTGCCAGTTTGGATCCTGGTTAGGCTGGGGTTAGCCCAGAAACTGGGACTGTCTGGACCTAACAACAGGCATTTTGATGTCCTGAGTCATGGTGAGCCCTGGGGCTTGCTGCAACTGATGGCTGGGTGCAAGGGCTGCAAGATTGCAACCCACTTGCCCTGCAGCTTATCGCTGGCATTGAACTGAGGCTGTTCTGGATCAATGCCAACAATTGGCAATTGTCAGCACTGGGACTAGGGCGGACTTGGGGCTGACTACGTCAGTTGATTGTTAGCACTGGGGAGATGGGATATGACACGCATTCCATATGTTGCACCATACAAACCAGCCTTAAAGATATTCAACATTTCACGTGAAGCATCGTTGTGGCTGGTTTGTTATTTTACGGTGCCATAAATTTGCTGAACATGTGGCACGCTGCTATTTATGCCACAATTAACATGGTAAATGTGCCATAAACTTAACATATACCAAGGGCCTGAGGAACAAAGTCTAGGATGACATTTCCTTAGGACAGGTTATTTTGTATCTGGTGTTAGCAATCCAAGGAAGCAAACTGGACCACTGCCCTGGATCCAGTGTAGAATACTCCTACATTCTTTGAAGATATCTTCCAAAGGAATTTTCCTAAAATATACATGCCACAGGTAGAAATCAAAAGAAGAAACCTGGTTTTTGAAAACAGACACAGCAAAAAGTGATAGCATGCAGAGTATTTCAATAAATAAACTGTTATTTACTGTAAAATGAAAACGAAACACAGTAGATGATTCTGTTAATATATGTGATTTATGTAGTGTATAGATTTCATTCTTAGTACAGATCATTAAAAAGTGTACTTCTTAAGGCACAAAATTTAACATGAGAGTTTGAATTTTTCACTCTCACATATAGGATGGTAGCTAGAAAAGAATGGTATTTGCCTTCCCTCTTTAATTCTCAAAGCTCTTTGAAGTTTTGCTTACCTTCTTTTTCAGCAAATGACTGACTATCTGCAAGAACTTTTGATATCTCTGGATTGTAACGAGTTCCCTCTGGAAAAATCACTAGGTACATCTGTAGGATTTAAAAAAATATTCTTAAAATAATAATTTTCAAAAGGTACTAAAATTATGACCCTTACATACATTTAGATCCCACATCAGCTACAGCTGTAAATATTAAAATATTATTATCAAGTAGTCAAATTTCAAGTTACACAGGTATAAAAAGACATACTGAAACCATATATAATAGAGGCAGAATCTTTGTAGTTCTACAGGTTAAGGTCTCAAATTCTTTTGAATTATTAAGCCAGTTTTAATGGAGTTTGACATATGTGCAAACCCATCAGGATGCCTGAAAAATTTTAGGAGTGGAGGAATCCCTCCTCACCAAAAGCCAAATAAAAATAAATCTTATTTCCATGCAATAATTATTAGTAAGATGGAAGGGAAGAGGAGGCAGTATTATTTTCTACAATACATCACAACACATCTGTTGTTTTGTCATCAATGGTCATTTAACCTTAATTTAATCAACAGTCATGTCTTCACTATCATGCTGCAGTTTCTTTCTAATCTCATAAAAGTCACCAGAACTGTTATTCATTGTTTTACGGAAAATTATAATAGCTTAGATGAGTGGTTTTCAACCTTTTAGACTGAAGGCACCCCTCAATCTCAAGGCACTCCTTGGAAAATTCCAATTAATAGTTTTCATTTGTTTTTTCGGTTACAAAAAATACAGCAATGTATCTGTTGCAAAGAGCTAAGAAAGATCACAGCAGATCAGAATCTTTGGGTTAACTTGTTAAACGTGTCTGCATGCCTAACTGCTAATAATACCCCATGACACTCTTGAAAAAGATCTCCTGGCACCCTGGCTGAGAGCCACTTGCTTGGATCATAATGTTCCACACTTCAACTTGGGTCGTCAAGCTAATATACAGAAAGCCATTTCAAATTTAGCATAATTTGAAAGTAACCTCTGTAAGCTGAACTTGTCAAATTAAGTAGCCCTCTTCCACGTTTGGTAAACTGGTGGCTAAAGTAGATGGAGTGCCTCTGCACCAATCTGAATGTACACAAGTAAACCCAAATACAGGGTTCCAGATTGAATAAAAGTGCTTGAATGCCTTACTGGCATGAATGAAACTTTCTGATCAAGTGCTTGTCTATGCTAAAAAATGTCATCCTTCTAGTTAACGCTTATTCTGAGATAGGCTAAATATGAATCAGCATTCAATATAAATGTACATCGGCCAATTATGAATAACTTAACTAGTCAATTTCTCAATACCGAGACAGGCTCTCAAGGCAAGACAGGGAGAAAGAAAGGCTTTATAAATCATGCCAAAGAAGATGTTCCCTATGTACAGGACTGAGAAGACTAGGAAAGTTTTGTGCAAGGAACTGACAAGTAGAAAGAAAAGTTTGGCACTTATCAACAAAACAGCTGAAAAGAGGAAGAAGGTATGCAATGAAAGAATGGACTACGAGAGAAAAATATGACAGGCTCTGATGGAATGAAAGGGAACGTTAGGTCTATTTGGTGAAACAGAATCTGTGTGATATGGTTAGAGCAACAGACAAGGATCTTGGCAGCTACATTCTGAGGTAACTGGAGAAGGGGATCTCTGGGAGGGTCAGCAAAGTGATAAGAATGAGCTTCCGTCTTGATTACTTTGAGAGGAAGGCTTAAACAAGAGGCCTTAGCTCAGTGGACAGAAAAGATCCAATAACATTTATGGAAGAACAAGTGATAGAATTGCTCATTAATTCCAAGCTTGTTATGTCAGGGAGCACAGTGTCTAATAACTGTAGAAAAAAGCTGACATAGAAAAAAAGATGTAAGTTAACGTTTCCAGATACTACATTTCAAACATGTCTCATCACTTCAGACAGATTTCAAGTGCAAGTGTAGTATTTTCACTCACATCCAGGATAAGGGTTTTTTCCATCCCCATTCAACATGGGGTACAGAAGAAAAATCCGTCTTCTTGGATCTAAGTACTGCCTGGTGCAGGCAGCTGCCATGGCTTTGGCCCCAACTCTGCACAGCAAAAAGAGTGTGGAGGAGGAAGTATGGTGCAAGGGGGGAATGCACAGGAGAAGTGCAGGAGAGGGGTTTTAGTACACAACCTGGAAAGAGTGCAAGGAAAGGGCACGCAGAGCTAGGCACGTGGAAGCAACTGCAATGTGAAGGGGTTGCACAGAGGAGACTGCGCTGCAGCAGGTGGGTGGGGAGGGGGCAGGCACCGGGGTCAAATGGCAGGGAGGACAGATGGCAGAAGCCAGGCACCAGAGGGCAAGTGCCTGGGGGAAGCAAGGGCTGGGAGTCTGCTTTTCCTCCCATAGTTGTGTGGGGATGAATTTAAGATAACTCCTGCAACAACTAGAATCTGGACATGGAACGCCCCCATGGAATTTTTTCACATCTAGAATCTAATTATTGGGGTGTCATCCTAAATTCAGAGTCGTCTTGGATTAGGGTAAATATAGAAATGAGTAAAAAAGGTCTTAGACAAAAATGTGATGACTGTGGTGGGCCAGTAGGGGTGCTCCTGTGCTGAGCCACCCACCTCACTGCACCCGACTGCCTACCAAGCTCCATGTGCCTCCCCTGGGGTGCCTCATGTCTGGCCACCCCCCTTCCTGGGGCACACCTGTAAGCCTAGGGTAACTGCTGATCTTTATTTGGGCCCTGTGCCCCCTGGGGTACACAGGCCTTGTAGACCTTGAGGGTGCTTGACCCACTGCAAGAACTTGGGGTGCTTCCTTAAGCCTGAAGCACAGAGAGTAGCTTCCTTAGTCAGCCAAGCATAAGAAGCATAAGGCATGCCCCAATCCCTCTCCCAGCAAGTCCACCAAGCTTGTTATAGTGGACAGCTTTACTGGTTAAAGAGGGTAGGCTTGGGGAAGGGTACAGGTTATAAAAGTATCACAGAATAGCCCGCAGCAAACAGTACCGGCTTAGTCACCTTTTGAGATGCTTCTACATTACAGTAAGCTATATTTCTAGATAAATTTCAGGTAAGTTACTCACATGTTCATTTGGAGCCTAGAAGAGCTCCAGAAGCCGTGTGTTTACTCCATGTTTCTCAATATAGCTCCCCTCATTCCAGGAAAAAGGGGTCTTTAAATAACCGTTTTGACCCAACCTTCCAGGTCAAATCAAGACAGGTGTTGTTTGATGCCAATCAATCAATTTGAAAAGCATCACTGGTCACCTACAAGAGTGACAGGGCTCAAGCCCTTGCCCCCTTGCCATGAGGTCAGTGCTTAGACTAGGTTCACTCCCTCTGTACCTGCTTGAGGTCACACTGTAGCTGTAACACAGGGCAACCAGGTTGAGAGACAGGTGAGGAGACTATGACAAAGGAAAGGAAAAAAAACCCCTGAAAGCAGGAGGCTGGAAGAAGATTCTTCCACAATGACTATAAATTTGCAGTTCACCAGCTGAAAAATAACCACGCCAATCCTAATCCTAGAGTCAACTCAGTCCAGGCCAGAATTACTTCACTGATTCATTTAATTTATCGACTGCATGTAATTTTACAGCTTTCACCCAGTATGAATAGTAAAAGTAAAACTGTGATGCCCTTTCTTTTTAAAGGAAACTTCCAAAGAATTTTGGAGTATGTATAACAGACTAAAGTTTCTGGTAAGTAAATGACCTCTCATGAACTTGGGGATTAAGAATTTATGAACACTGCAGCAACAGTAACATCTGCTTTTGCAGTCCAAAACTTCCTTTACATAAAGTAATATATTCTGGGGATAAACAGTGCTGGGGTATCCAAATTGAAGTTGAATATGCAAAAATACTGCATCGGTGTAAACCCTGACCTGGTGCTGGCCAGATTCTTAGCAGCCCAGCATGTTCTAATTATTGGCATTTTCTCCCTCTAATACAACGCAATAACTTTTGCATTCCATAACTAATCTATTCTAAAAATCCAAAGACTGCTCTAAGCATCAAGTGGCTGAACAAGCCTGCTGAATTTGATTAGATTCAGAATACCCGAGGGAGAAAATACAATACACAAAAGTACCCCAAATCAGGTCAATGGGTGCAAGTGCTTAATCCACAGAGGTAAGAACTGGCAGACAGCATCCATTATACTTCCATCTCACCTCTGCTCTTCATCCCAATAACGTTTGAAACCCCCCCACCCTGAGTACCAGAATCTCTCAGACAGAGAATACCAAATGATTTGGGGGGGGGGGGCAGGAGGAGGGAGAAGAGGATCAATGGCATAGGTGTCCACAGATCCCTTGGCATGGGCAGAGCAGCATAGTTATAGGTGTCCCTTAAAATTAGGGAGACATGGGAAAATAGCAGACAAAGCCTGCACAAGAAGGGCTGTAAGGAGTCCTTATTTTGTATGATGGAATTCAACCTACAGGGCAAGAATGCGCAGTGGTTCTCAACCAGCAAGCTGTGAAGGCAGGCCACAAGGGAAGGCAGCCAGCCAACCCCCTCCCCAACATTCCCAGTGCTATGGTTTGCAAGGGAAACACCAAAGCTACCTTTATGGGGTACTGTGGATCATTCTGCTGAAAGGCAGAACTAAGGCAGAGCAAATCAGTCTTGGCATAGCACAAGGATGCCATTGCTGCTTTCCATGCCAGCAGAGCAGCTTAGAATGAGGAATATTAGAGAGTAGATGGGGATGTTAAAGTATAAAGAAAGTAGGCATGGGGCCACTCATGGAAATGGTGGGGACTGGGTGGGATTCATGGCTGTGAATGGAGATAGAAGAGGTGGGCTGCAAGATCAAAAATTTCTATAAGACAGACACAACAAAGGGAAGGGAAATTTTCAAGAAAGAAAAAGCAAAGAAATACTGCTTGGGACAGGTGTGAAATATTCCAGATAGAAGCAACTCTTCAACTTGAAGCACCTGTAATATTTTTACTGAGTACCAGTCCTTCTTTCCTGAATGCCTTATGAAGAACTGCATACCTACTGCATAAGGACATCTTGTATTTATGCTGTTGTTGACAAGCTTGTATTTATGCTGTTGTTCCCCAAAGTTTATTTAGGGAAAAGCTAGTGTCCAAAGAGAAACAATGATAAAGATGTCTAACTTTGAAAATTAAATCAAAACCTCAACCACATTAGCCAAACAGTGTTGTACAACCAAAAATATGTTCCCCTGGTTCTTCCAACATTTTCATCACTACATCCTGATTAGTAAACAAATGAATATTCGAGCTATTTCAGATCAACGCGAGCATTCTTATAGGTGAAAATATGGTGATGTGTCTTATCCAGCTCCTGAAGTGTATGAGGGAGATACTCAGAAAGGGGTAGTTAGCCATGTTAGTCTGAAGTAAAGTAGAAGCCAGGGTAGATATGCACTTTATAGACTAACTAAATAAGATATTTATAAAACACATGCTTTCATGAACTATATTTAGGTCATTAGTTGACAGGACAAAATACAGTATTCCTGAAAAAATTTATAAAAAGGAAAAAGAAAGAAACAGCACAGTGGCAAAATGACAAAAGGAACTTGCCAATGTCCTTGGTAACTGTATATATGCCACCTTACATTCTGGATTTATGTATCAGTAATTACAGACAAAATGTAAACCTTGTATCCACACAATAACAGTCACACTATATGTTTGTTACATATTTCCTCCATCTGGCTTGTATTGCTTGCTATAGCAATATATACTATTTTTGTTACCAAAGGAACAGGAAAGTCAAATAAGCAGTAACCATGCAAGTACTAGCTGTACTACTGTCATCTTTCAATAAAATTGCAAAATAAAAAGTTTGATCCAATTCACTTCAATAGAACAGGACCTATAGGTACTCTGGAACCTCTCAGGAACTGGCCTTAACTTTTGACCTTTTATTCTTAATGTTGATAATAGGGAAAATAGGATATGTTTCCTGGTAGTATGCTGCATACCTTATAAGGTAAAAGAAGTTAATATGGAACACTAAGGTACATTTTTCATAGCTACTTGTCTGGAGGCAACAGTACTATTGCACAAGTTGAGGTAACATTTTTAATTTCTTGGAGGTCTAGTGTAGTAGCTTTGTAACTGGGTTTGGTTGATTAAAAGATTATTTAGGGAAAAGCTGACCATACAATTAAACAAACAACAAGATCATTGAAAAACTTTAAATCCCAACAAGAAGCCACATAAAGAATGGTCTTTCAGCCTACCATATTGTATGAATTTCTTGCAAGTCTAATGATCAAACTCTAATTCTTGAACAAAAAGGCTTTTTGGTACACAGTATTTGGAAAAGATGAGCAGCTTTTTGGAGCAAAGATAAAAAATGGCAGTTAACTTTGCAGCAGTTCAATACTCAAGGCCCGTAAGGAGGCCACATGTTCCTGCATGTGTTTCCTGTCTATTTTTAACTCATTAGATTATTTTAAAGTATTAAAAATAAAAAAGGTTGCATATGACAGAAGGAGGTTTAAAAAAAAACCTTGTACCCAGGGTTAAATTGGAGTTTGAGGTGCTTAGTCTCAACTCTGCTCTCTTCCTTTGATGTCTCAGATTATTTTCTTAGCAGAAAGCACTCCAGAATGCCTGATTCTTTTATCAAGCTACAAGGAGAGAGAAAGGGGAAGTAATAAAGTGATCCCCAACGTAGGTTCCCTTCCTTCTCCCTATCTGCAAGCAACAAAACCCTTTTCTGACAAACATATATGCAAGTCATCATGTTACTGCTTACTAAACTGAGCTAAAATCTATTTCTGAACTATTGCATTAAGAAAGGAAATTTATTTTGGAATTTCTAGTTGGAATTTAACAAGGGCCATTATTTATCATATCAACCTTTAATGCAATATTTATACTTCTGCCAATGAATTAAGGATACAAGCTCTCTTTGATTAAAAGGACTTCCATTAAAAGCAATTTGATGACCTGTGGCTCACTATGTTAGATTTCAGCACTGCTAAGTAATCTTCTTGAGTAGTGTGTTAAGTGCATAGGTTATCATATTTATCTCAACAGTAACTGTAGATTAAAGTGAATTTTCAGCCTCTAAATTAAAAAATTCTGAGACATAACATGTTATGGAAAGTTCAGTCTCTACTGGAAATAGTGGCTCAGTAACATTGATTCTTTTAATCCTAGCACATACAAGCATTTGACTTAATAAATATAATCTTAACAGCCTGGTTAAAGGTAATCCTTAGACTGGTAAATTTACAACTCTGTCTTACAGTTCAACTATTTTTAGGTTGGAAATAAATTTACTGTGCAGTACTCCTAAATCTGCATCAACTTCACAGCTTTATTCATATTTCCATTACTAAGAGTCTCAAATTCATTTGAAAATGATTTCACTGAAAACAGTCGCATACATTCCTTCACCAAAATCCTAGCTCAGGCTGTTGGCAGATGTTCAGGCAGCTGTGCAATTGGGGTCTGATGAATTTTCTGCCCCATCTCCAAAAATCGCATGACTGGCCATACCAGACTTGCATGGCAGATCTTGTGATTTTGGAGATGACGCACAAAATTCCCCAAATCCCAAGTGGCCGCCAGAGCTACCCCATGGCAATCCCAATTGTCAGGATTGGGTAGGAGGCGGCCTGGGTCCCAAACAGCCTGGCAGACTTACTGCCCTGCCACGCCACCCGCAAGGGAGCTGCACAGCATGACAGCAAATCTGCCAGGTGACGTGGAGTCTTGGGGTCTCTGCCTGGTTCTAGACCTAAGGCTGCCCTGTCCTCATGCCAACAGCCAGCTGATCGTCACCATCTGGATGGAACAGCCTGGGGTATGGGACATGCCACATGTTCAAGTTATGATGCCATACACATATTAATCACAACATAAATATAATGTCTACTAGGGCCCTTAAGGATAATTCCACCCATTATGACTGTTTACAATGAGTAGCTGTTATTCATGTAATAAAAGTTTGCAAATTCAGGCTCCTGGGCGGGTGGGCGAGAGGGAGGGAGGGGACAGTCAATTTTTCATACTCCCAAAATGGCCCAATTCTTCTGTATGCTTTGACTTTTCTGCCCCAATCCAGCAACACAAATTTGCTAAAAACCCAGTTTACGTGAAACAGTACATCTCACCCTTGATTTCCTAATATCAGAGTAAATGAATTTAGTTGGCTACATGTTTGGAACCCCCAGGTTCATCTTTAGAAGAAAAGCTTTTCAGAGTTACTTCTATTTACAAATTGATATAAAATCCTAGTGTGAAGATACTGTGGTGGAGAGGATTAATTTACTATCTTGAAAGTGCCTCTTTAATGGATCACTCCCTTTAACTATATTATGTCTTAAATTTTCTATACATTATGCTAATGTTTGCATTTATAAAATCAGATTTAAGTCAACTTTCAAAAGCTGAAGTGAAAAATGGGTATCTGGGTACACATGATTTTTGGCTTTCAATACAAGAAGTTATCCAACACAGCAGTACATAGACTGACTGAATTATTTTTATGTTGGAAATAAATGTACTCCCAATACTCCCAGCTGTATGCACATGGACACAACTCAGAGATCAAACCAATTTCTTAAACGTATCTTGCCATAAACAAGTAAGATAAAATCATAAACATACAGAAAGGTTGTAGCCAGGGCATCAAAAAAAAATGTCCATTAGGCTAGGGGAGAGGAAAATTCTGATTCAAATGCCCTCCTTGCCCAATTATTCTAATCCAAGGTTTAAGCAAAAAAGTCATCACTATGGCAGAGGAGGGACAGTTTCATAGAAATTTGGGGATTATTGGAATTTGCTGATCATTGGTTTTTGCCATAGACAGCTAGACAATCACAAAATGTTGAGACATTTTTGCATGCAAGATGAAGAACGATTCTTTCTGAAAATGTATAGTGAGAAATAAGTTGTTTATAGAAAGAGATAATTAGCCATGTTAGCCTGAAGTCAGGGTGGACTTGCACCTTTTCAACTAATAAACTTATTTAAAACCAAAATACAATACTTTTAATTTGAAAGTAAAAAATAAGCCATTTGTCCTGTTCATGGGTATCTTCATGACTAAGTTATCTGAAATTTGGTTTTCAAACTGTATCACCTTTCACATATCAGCCAAAAATCTACAGCAAGACTGTCAGATATCTGATTGCCATAATTTAAACTTTATACATACACACACACACAGAAAGGAGAGAGAGAGAGAGATTTAAAACACCATTTCAGTACTAAGCCCTAACTCAGAACAATCGATCTCAAACACAATTTTTAATAATGAAGTATACTGAGGTCAAATACCAAGTTATCTTTACTATGGCTTCTGCTTTAAAAAGGTATGCTGTGGTTAATACAACAAATGCCTTAAAAACTATAAATGTAATTTTAAATTAATAATTTAACTTACTATATATCAAGTTACCAAATAGTTTTTCATGCATCAAGCCAACAAAACAGAAAACCACTGAGCCACAGACTGTAGAGGGAGTCATGAGAAAAGTCACTTGGCAGCACTTGTCATTTTCAATCAAACAAGCAAACAAAATCAAGACATCATTTTTTTCTGTAGCAAAAATTTACTGATTTTTCAAATATCATTTGCATTAAAAGTGATTAATCATCACAATGAACAATTAGCAATGGTAAAGAATTAAAAATGGTTCCTACCTTTTTAAAAGACCAAGCTAATTTGATACACAGAAGGTAAAAAGGTATATCAAGCTTTATTACTGCAGGCAAAATGCCTTTCTGAAATACAGGGAACATTGACACTGGCTGTTTCACAATGGAAATTCAGTTAGTGCACATATAATTGCAAGCTTTAAGTAGAAAAGAAAATTTTGACAATGAATTTCTTATGTAATATAAACTTTAGATTAGTTCAAAGCTATCAGTGACTAATTAGGGATAATGTCTTAATCCGGAATAATCTGTAAAATACTTAAAGAAAACAAGCATACCTACAAATTAGATGACTAAATTGCTCTGTTGTAGTCAATTCCAATTAGAAAGAGCAATAAAATAAAGTGGAAAAAAAAGTGTGGACTTACGGGAGTCTCAGTTTTCACCTGGGCCTGCAGCTTGTCTCTCATTTCTTTTTCATTGAATTTGCCACTTCGTTTTACATACACTCCTCCATGCTAACATTAAAAAAAAAAAAGTATTTATTAATATTTATTACACACTGTAGCGCATAAAATGATATTTGTATTCAGATGCAATTTTAGGTTTCATAGCAATAGATTATTAAGAAATACCTCCAAAGAGTGAAAATTATCAGACCACATGCAGTAAACATTTTCTCCTTGGATAAAAGCTCTTACAAAAATTTTGCATCTTCATGTACAAGATGAAATTTTTAAAAAGGTTATATAGAAATGAGAAGTGTTACATATACAGATTGCAATGTCACCAAACACAATCAGAAAACATCTGAGCCATCTTGTTTAATAGTGTTAAATATTTAATTAAAACGACAGCACTGGAACTGACACAGGTTTCTGCAACAAAAACATTTATCTGAACTCATAGGGCACGTCCACACATGCAAGCACGTGTGCTTGCAGCAGCTAAAACAGAAGCGGTGCAAATTTGAGCTGGGGCTTTTTGCCTCAGCGCACGTGCTCGGACCTGCACTTTGTTGTGGAGCAAATTGTGCCACTTGGGGCAAAATAACCCTGCCTGGCTCCTCCTGGATCTGCAGCCAGGGGGAGCTAGAGCCCAGGGCCAGCACCTGTGCTGTTCCCAGCAGTATAAAAAGCTGCCTGTCCTGGCCCCATCCGTACAAAAACCTGCCCTGGCAAGCAGCTCAGGACTACTCGCTCTCCAGAGCTTCTGGGGCTCAGCCACTTGGTACCTGGGGACACTACCCCTTGTGCCAGCTGGACTGGCACAAATCCATTTTTAAAAATATCCCAAAATCCATGTTTTTAACACAAAAGACCACTCTACACACACACACACACACACACACCCCTCCCCCAGACAGAGAGAGAGAGTGTGAGCAATCACTTGGGCAATGCTTTATTGGTATATTTACAATGTTAAAGCAGTGTGGAAGCCTACCAGTGTCTCTATCATCATGATAAAATAAATTCTAAATACCTATATGTGTTGATGTGTACTTTTGGTTTTCTTTGCACATGATGGGTGTGTGATGGGTGGATGTGGTGTTTGCAGGAAGAGGGTGGGAAGGGGTGTGGGGGAAAGCGGGTGGGTGTGTGGATGGATGTAGGTTGGTGTGTGGGTAGGTGTGGGGCGATTGGTGTGGGCTGACTGTGGGTGTGGGGGACCGTGTGGGGGTGCTGCTCAGGAGGGGTGGGTCCCCTGGCCCCCACAGGGTGCAGCCTCCCACAATGCACATGGAATGCCCCCCCCACTAAAGGGCCCCAGCTTCCCCCTGGAGGGCCACAGCCCCTATCCCCCACAGGGCCCCAGCCCTGCCACACAGGGTCCCAACTCCCCCGGAGGGCTCCAGGCACCCTGGAGAGCAACAGCCACCCGTGCCGGGGGTCCCAGGCACCCTGGAGGGTCCCAGCCCCCACCCTCCTGCCCAGGCCCATAACATACCTTTGGCAGCAGCAGCGGGGCACTCTGAGCCATGGCGGCAAGACCCAGTGCGGCACACAGGGAACGCATGCTGGACCCAGCTGGGTCCTGGGACCCCTCTGCTGCTGAGCTGGGCCCTTGGTGGCAGGACCTGCTGCCCTCAGGGCCCCTCCGCTGCCAGGCAGGCTGGGCCCTTGGTGGCAGGACCTGGTGCGGCGCGCGGGGACTGCAAGCCATGCCCAGCTGGGTCCTGCTGGCCCTGGGGTCCCTCTGCCACCTGATCAGACCAGGCCCTTGGTGGCAGGACCCAGCGCAGCGCATGGTCCCTGCATGCCAGGCCCAGCCACCCTCGGGGCTCCTGCACCACCCGGCCTGGCCGGGCCCAGGGCTGCCAGGACCTGGCTGGCGTGGTGCGCGGTCACCACACGCCGCGCCAGGTTCCGTCGCTCTGGGCCCAGCCCAGCCAGGTGGCGCAGGGGCCTAAAGGGTGGCAGAACCTGGCTGGGCAGCGGTCTGGGGGGCTGGCGGGAGGAGGGGCCGGGCAGGGATTGGGGGGGCTGGGGGAATGGGTGGGGCTGGCAGGGGTTCCCTCCAGGGGACCCCTCCATGGTCCCCTTTAGGGCACATACAGACATTACACTTAGATCAGTTTAAGTGAACATAGATCAATCTAAACCTGCAACTATGCAGAAGTTAGATGCACATATAAAACTGTCTAAAAAGGGCACAAATGATCTAAAATAGACCTTGTTCAAGGAACATGCTATTGAGATCAATTCAGGTTAGACTGATGTATCAAGTTTGGGTATTGTTCCAAAAGTATTAAAACTAACACAGCTCCTCAAGTGGGTGAAGTTACTCATGTGCACAAGTATTTGCAAGACAAAGTTTTCAAGACTGGTTCTTCTTTGTAAATAAAAACAAGACAAATACTATTCATCTAACAGTGCGAAGATATATGTAAAGAGGTAATGTATCTTGCTGAAGTAGTCATGGCTGATTACAACACTATTATGCACCCTCAATAAGAAAAGTGTAAGAGCCTGGTAATTAAAAGAGCTATATGTTATGACCAGGGATCCTGGTTTTCTCTGATTAAAAAAAACTTCAAATTCTCCAATTAAAAAACCCCCGCAAATTCTCTGACAAAAACCACAAAATCCTTGATTAAAATGAAACACCACATATACATATACACACACATATATATACACACACACACTTACACACACACACACGTTATCACGTTATCAATTGAACACAATCTATTGACAATTTTCAAACAATCTGAAAGCCTACCAGTGCCTCAATCATTATAATAAAATGCCTCTTACTCCTCACCTGTATAACCCTTGCAGCCCTGCTTAGTGCCTCTCGTTCCCCACCCAAACCCCCTGTCCCCCCTAGTCCTGCTGGAGGGGGCCCCCAGCTGCCAGGGCTATGTGGCCAGGGGCCTGGCTCTACAAGCCCCTGCCTTATGCAGCAGCGCCCAAGACCCAGCTGCTGCCCTCTCCCCTCCCCCACGGGTGGCTCAGCTGGAGCGAAGCCCATGGTGGGG